CCACATAAAGAGAGTTATTTCCTTTTAATCCTTCAATGTGAAAAGGTGGGTCCTGGCTGTGTACACCACAATACTAACAAGAACTTTGCTTTAGAATCAATAGGGGCAAAGGGGAGGGTGTTTGGCATAGCAGTTAATATACCACTTTGGCTACACGGCACATTACAGTGTCTGCAGTGGAGTCCCAGCTCTGCTTCGGAGTCCACCTTCCTACTAATGCATTCTGGGAGAGAGCACATGATGGATCAAGTACTTGGGTTCCTACCATCCATGTGGGAGACCTGGACTAAGTTCCCAGCTTCTACCTTCAGCTTGACCCAGCCCCAGCTGTTGCAAACATTTGGGGAGTGAACAAGCAGAAGAGAGCTCCCCGACCTCGCTCTCTGCCAATCAAGGAAATGAAATAAAGATTTTAAAATTAAAATTTATACATATACAAGTACACAGTTAATTCAGCTAATTGTAAAAAGCACCATAAAAAAAAATGAACAGATTAAATATTAACATTTTCAGAATCACAAAAATGGGTATATTCTGTGGGATTAAATGCAGGTATTCTGATACCACAGGAGCTGTAATACAGAGAAAGGCAATGTAACAGTAACAGTTCTACATTCCATTTGGGAGAACAAATGAAGACTTCCCACATCCAGAGACAAACATTGTGGCTACTGTCCAGCCTTAGTTAATCGTTTTATTTTGGTAGTGTCTCATTCATACAGTAATACTGTATTTGCATAGATATAAGAGTAAAAATGAAATAAGAAACATGGATAACACAAAAATGAAAGCACAAATAGCAGAGATTTCAAAAAGTTAATTCAGTTGACACAAGAAAGTCAATCAAGAGATGTGCTGAAGCTGATGTATTTCCTGGTCAAAAACTGGTCAAATGAGTGTGAAAGAATACAAAAATTAAAGAACATTTTCAAAAGTGGGAGACATATTACCAATGTGTAAGAGAAAGAAAATTAAAAATTCAACATATTTTTTAATTTAGCACAGTCAATGTGAACACATGTTTTAGGGTCTACAGGGAATTTCTGTATTTCAAAATGACAGTTGCTATGGACTGCTTTAAATCCATAATGAAGCCCTAATACCCAGTGTGGTGGTATCTGGAGGCAGAGCCTTTGGGAGGTAATTAGGTGATGAGGGCAGAGCCCTCTTGAGTAGGATTAGCGCTATTGTAAGAACAGACATGAGAGAGATGATTTCTCCTCTCTACCATATGAAGATACAGCAAGGAAGAGATCATCTGCAAACCAGCACTGGGGCTCTCACCAGAAATTTATCTGCAGGAAACATGATCTTGGATTTCCCAGCTTCCACAACTGAGAAATCTAAGTTAGCCTGTCTATGCTATATGTTATAGCAACCCAAACTGAGACAACAGTTAATTTCAGATACCAAACCACTTATAACAACTTATAATATCCTGATGCTCTTAAGAATTGCCCTGGAATTACTGTTCACATGAATTCAATATCTACTTGACCATATTTCAGAGTCAAAAACCAATCACTTGAACACTAACCTCGCACTCTGGCCTTCCCTCTTCTCACTTTTTGGATGGGCCAATTTTCAATCATAACACATGACTACAGATATTTTTCTGCATCTGTGCCCAAGCTGCAAAGCATTAAGAAAAAAAAAATGACAATCACACATTCAGGCCAACTCCTACCAAGCCATCTTTTTCCTCACTTGCCAAATCCTTAGGCCATTATTTCTAACTCATTACATAAAAGTAACATTTAAATGAATCAGAATGTAAAGGACTACAGTTTTAACAGAAGTGAGGTAATTCACATGAAGTTCCTTACCCACCTATTTATTGCACCTTGATCAATTCATTCTATAGCAGACCTACAGCGAAGTCAAAGTCTCAGCCTGAAGCTACACTGCATAAATTCAATTCCAGCTAGGACATTCACTAACTACAGATATCTAACACAAATTGCCATTTTCTGCTTCTTGGTTTCTTTATTTGCAAAACAGAGGTAACAGTGGTAACTGATACAATGAGTTGTGAACATCAGCTAATACAAGTAAAATTGCTGGAATAGAACCTATCACATAGTAAAACAATAAATAAATGATAGTTATTATTACCTGCAATACAATCTCTGCCAAATGAAAACATATCCCTCTTCTAAATTTATTTCTTATCCACTGTTCTTAAGTCTATACTCTTTCCATATCCAAGAACTCAGATGTTCCAATCTTCTCCCCTGCAGAAGCTTTAAGGAAAATTCTTCCAATCTAGTTTTTTTTTTTTCAATGCCAAACTTCTTAAATTATTATTTATTTCTGAGAAAAATATTATAATTTGTTTCTGAAGATTAACCCTTTGGTTATGGGCTCTTCACAGAATCTCTTAACTCTAATCCTTATTCCTCAGTATATGCCACCAAATGTTAAATCTCTGTATGTAGTTTTTTATACAAAAGGTCCCCAAAAGTTTGCAGAAAATGCATATTATGAAAAATTATGCATAATTTCAAATTACTTTTGCACCACAATAAACTAATCCTTTGATTATATTTTTCTACAAACCCTTTGAAGTATCCTATCTACAAAATATTACATTTGTACCAAAACTTCTTAACCCTACCATCAATTCAATCCTCTCTCATGTAAAATGATTTCTAGGGTAACTTCCAGCTATAAAATCGTTCAATATAATCTAAAACAAAATTGATCATCTCCTGTACCCAACCAAGTAAGGTTTCCGTTATGGTTTTGCACCATTTCTATGGGTGACAACATAATTCTTGCAGTAACCAAATTCTCTCTAGTCTTAAATTAGAATTTCTAACAATACTCATTCTGTTCTAACCTATCACTATATCCAAATTTTCCCAGGACTTCGCTTGATTCTAGTGAACATCCTCCAACTCTGCACTTATTCTCAAGTTAATCTCTTTAAATATTCTGTCACATTATCACCCACTTAAAAATCTCCAATAACTCTCCACTGTTCAAATTTTGACTGGAATTCATCTATTCCCACACCATCTTTCTAACACTGTAATTCTCTAATCTCCATAAATAGAAAATAAACCTCAATCTTTACTTACCACCATCTCTACAGAATCACATGATATCTGCCATTCTGGAATGCCTTTCACACTGCTCAAATACCTCCCAGATTTTTCAAGGTTCAGTTCAATTTCATCCCTGCCCATGAAGTCTTACTGCATAGGGTAATCTCTCCTTCACTTGAATTTAAAAGCCATTTATCACCTATACAACTCATTGCCACTTAATTATAAAATTTCTCATATTGTTATCTAAATGTGTGTCATCTCTCACACCAGTTAAAAACCCCAGGAAAGTATCTTACCTATTTGCATCTACTTTGTTTTCATTGAAAGCTGGGCACAACAAACACATAACAAAACACTGATTTCATTGAGAACACAACTACTCCCTTTCATGAGATACTAACACCTGGCTCATATAATCCCATTTAAGAGAAAGAAATTATAGAAGGAAGAATAGCAATAGAAAGTAACTAATTTGCAACCACCACAGTAACAATGATTCATGCAAGAATCATCAATGGATGCTAAAATCATCACATGGGAAGTTTCTAGGGAAACAGGATATTCATACAGTCTCAAAATATAACTGAACAGATTACTTATGAATTACAAAGGGAAAAAAGGTACCTTCACAGTGGAGAAATCTGGCGGACACCAAGTGATCAAAGTTAACATCACCAATAATGGGATAAACTGACATCATGTGCCTCCTGATGTGATGCACTGAGGACACAACATCACTTATGTATTATTCCTGCCAAAAATGCATAACCTGAAACTAGTCATGAGGAAACAATCAGACAAACCAAAAACTGAGGGACAATCTGCAAAACAACTGACCTATAACTCTTCAAACATGTCAATGTGCTGAAAGACAAAGAAAGGCTGAGGAACTGAGTACGTGATCCTGGGTATGACTAGAGGATCAGAAAACAAACTGCTATAAAGGGTATCACTGCTACACACGACAACTGGTGAAATTTGAATATTTACTGTATTTTAAAACAGTATTATATTAAACTGCCTGATACTGATCATTGTTCTTTGGTTATGTAAAAGAAATTTCCTTACTCTTATGAGAAATGTTAGGAAGTATTTTAGGGTAAATGAAATCTAAAACTGATAATAGTAGTAACTAGTATCAATAGAAAGTTTAGCAAAAATGTGCCAAAACCATTACATTTAAATGTAAGTAAAAGGGTACACATGAGTTCATTGTACTATTCATACAACTCTTCTGGCTCCTCCCCTCCAAAATGAAATTTCAAAAATGAATATCCTAATACCACAAAAACTATGGGAAATTTGTATGCATCTGTGATATTTTACACTGTATCTCACAATCTTAAAAGCAAGACATTGTAGTGAAGTTATTCTATAAGCAAAATTACATTTTATCTGCAGTGAAGAGTTTGCTCTATAAAAATAGTTGTTCTAAAAAGCTACTTCTGGAATCAAAGATTTGTTTTATAATAGAAATAGCCAACTGTTAATTTATCTTAAGATAAAAATCAATATATGTATCATTTTTACCACAAAACTCAATTAATATGAATAAGGTCAGTTTCAGTTAATAAAATGTCTTAGAGAATATACTTTTTAACACTGTAGTTTTTTATTTCAAATATAGAGAAATTAGAGAAAGCTAAAAATGGGCTTATAGCATTTAAAGAAATTATCTATAATTAATATATCAATAAATAAGCAAGAATATCAAGAACTGATATGACTCATTACTTATGATACAGAGAATGTTACCATCATAGATCACAAACTATCTTCCCTCAATTATCAAAAATTCTGCTTTAGCTGCATGTATGTTTCAGTAAAGTTTTATAATACAGTCATGAAGTAACTCTTACAGCTTCATGGGGCATTTCAAAAGAATACTTCCGAAATACAATATAGTATATTCACTAGTATTAGCAATAGTTCTTTAAAATTGGATACCTTATTAATGAGATGTTCAGTAACAACTTCTCTTAGTCCAGTGTAGAGCTTTTCTCCATGTTTATGCAAAACCATTGTATATGCATTTCTATAGAGCTCCTCAAAACTAAGACCACTGTTATTCTTGCGCTGGATTTCTTGAATTGCATTTTTCAGAAGGTCCCAAATGCTGTTTACGTATTTTTCATCCATGGTCATCTGTAATATCCAAGACAGAAAAGAGACAAAAAAGCCAGTGATTGAAAATCTTTCCAATGGTAGAAAATATTTGTCCAAATACTAAATATTTGTTACACTGCTATGATTATAAATCTGAATTACTTCTAAAACTGTTTTAACATAAATAAAGGTATACATTTAAAAATAGTTAACAGAGTTTAACAGAGGCAGTTTTTCTAATCCATTAAGATCTCTCTCCATTCTTACCTACAGCAGCATTAATGACCTTAAGCGAAATCATGATTTATATGCCCATAAATCCCTTGAACCTTCTTTTCTCTCTCCCTCCAAAATTCTTGCTATGCTAATTCTAATAGCCTACCACCTACTCCTGACATAGACATGCACTCATGTTTGACCCCTCTGAGTTTAAACTTATAACCACTACCCCTAAGTCTGACTTCACCCTCCTACATCATTTTGCACCACCTCCTACATCCTCACTCTAAGATGACTGCTTCCTGATGCACTGAGAAAACAGAAACATGAATAGACTGCACAAACTCTGACCATATCCATCAATCTATTTTAATGTTACGCCAATATAATCTGCTCATTGTTGTGTCAAAAAGTGCCAAGTTCTTGCACTAAACGCAAAGCACAAGGACCAGAAACACAGACATTACCTAGGAACTTTTCAGAAATCATGAACTCTAGGCCCTATCCCAGACCTACATAAACAGAATCTGCATTTTAACAAGAACTGTAGGTGATATAGAATGACACTGGACAAAGACTACTCTAGCTCCAACTCAAATCATCTATTTAAAGAACACTATTAGCAATCACTCTTCTCAGCGTCAACAATATTTTTCCTCTCGGCTAAGTAATTTCCATTTACATTCAAAACTGTCAGTTTTTCCTAAACAAATCTTCACATTGCCCTCCAGCATCACCTAATTTCTCTTTCCATTTATAGCAAATCACAGGCAGGGAGAGGGTAAGATTTCTACATTCTTGTCTCCAGGTACCATCATCTTTCCACCATATCTTGAAATCACGCCAATTAGATTTTGTAGTTCTAGTTCTGGTTTTAGCTGGTTCTAATCCCAGCTGCTCCTGTTCCAATCCAGCTCTCTGCACATAGCCTAGGAAGTGGAAGATGGCCAAAGTTCTTGGGCCACTGCACTCATACAGGAAGAACCAAACTTGTGGCTCTCGGCTTTTCATCAGCCCAGCTCCGGCCACTGCAGCCATTTGGGGAGTGAATCAGCAGATGGAAGACTTTTCTCTCTCTCCCTCCCTGTAACTCTGCCTTTCAAAATGAATAAAAATCTTAAAAAAATAAAAATAAAAAAGTTGGGCTATTTTTCACTTAATTACTCAGCCCCTAAAAGCACACAATAAGCACTCAGTTAACCCATGAAGAATTTTCTGATAAACCTCTGAGTAAGGAACCCTTCTTATCCCACATAAAACCGACAAGCTCTCCATTTACAATGGAGCAAGATTAGTCAGCTTTACATATTCCTGATTTGAACTGAATAAAAATTACTGACTCAGTGGAATCCTCAAGAATGATGGTTATGAATGTGAAAGAGAAAAGAGTAGGTAAATTAATTTCAGTCACCCTAGCTGTAAAATATCTGATCAACTGTCAATCAAGAAGATCTTTAAATAACAAAACTGAGTCTCACTGTGGTCATCTTCTTTGGAGAACTTACAAAGTACCGATTTAACAGATCAACACCTTTCCTGTTATCCGAAGTTTATGTCCATCAGACATTATAAAATGACCTTGGAAGAATTTATCCCTACACCTTAACTGCTACCTATTTTTATCAGACATCTTGATACAAACACTGTCATCCATATAAAATATAAAGATGCAGCTATCTAACTTTTCACAAGTAAAATATACAAGCCCATGGATAACAATGACCAGAAATGTTCCATGTATGTGCAACTAAAGAGCAAACACAACCCTTGACATTAAATGGCAAACACATAAAGCAGAATATTCAGAACAATTTCAAAGAAAGAGCAATGTTGATGTGGGCTATCAACTCCAGAGATAAATTCACTGGTAACAATTGAGCAAAATGTCAAATGATTTATTCAGGTTCTGTATTATAAGAATGTAAGAGATCCAGTGAAAGACAGAAAAGAGTATACAGAAAGATCTCTACTCAGGGAAAAAAAAAAAAAAACTGGATGCTCTTTAGGCCAAAAAAAAAGAATTTTTAAAACACAAGAGACTTCAAGTATTTCCATGCATTCTCAAATTCTTATGATTGAAGAACCATTTTCACATATGTAAATCCAAGACTGTATGTTGCAATGTTCTCAGTAGTTATGCCTTACAGGCCTTACAGATAGAGCAGAGATGAGCCACAAGATAATAATGTTCCTTCCAGAGACTGTTACAAGGTAAAAGGTATTTCCAAGTAAGAAACAGACACAAAGAGATTAAATGATATAACCAGAATTATGCAGCTGGGATTAAAGTCACATATTCCCCAAACCAAAACTGTTGGATTACCTTCATATTTCATTGTGCTAACACGGTAAAATAGTATCACAACCTGAATCACTAAATATCTGGGTAAATACAATACAGAATACTGGTAGAGAACACAGGTTGCTTCTATCAGATGCACTTGGATGTGTGTATGGTTTTGCTACTCACAAGCCATGCAATCCTGGGCAAATTATTTAATTCTTCCAAAGCCTTATTTCCTCACTTGTAAAATGGTTTCAGTTACAGCATTTATTTTCAAAGGACTGTCAAAAATGTTAAATGGTGTCAGATTAAGTCAGTCTGGGGCACAGAATAATCCCTCCCATATAGATTAAAGAAGTACCCAATGAGAGAATTTCTTAAACTCCCAAGAGTGGGCACCAAACAAATAAGAGTACAACTATGTTAAAAGCAAATCATATAACTTAGTTTTCTTTCAGAAACATTATTTCCCTACATCTATCCTAACTTTTCCAAAGTCATAGAAATCCTATTTACCCTCTTAACCCTGTCCTTGAATCTTTCAATCTATACTGGGTCCCTATGAAGTCTCATGATTACAACTGCTATTCTTTGTAGTCATAAAATTCAAATAAATTCTAAATTGGCTGTAAAAGATTCAGGAGGTTCCAAAATCTGCAACACACGATTTTACAATAAAATGCGTGTATTCTTTTCTGAGAGGTGGGTTTCTAGCTTTTAGTTGATTTTCCAAGAAGTTTGACACACATCTTAAAGATGAATTACTCAGCCGGCACCGTGGCTCACTAGGCTAATCCTCCGCCTTGCGGCACCAGCACACCGGGTTCTAGTCCCGGTCGGGGCGCCGGATTCTGTCCCGGTTGCTCCTCTTCCAGGCCAGCTCTCTGCTGTGGCCCGGGAAGGCAGTGGAGGATGGCCCAAGTGCTTGGGCCCTGCACCCCATGGAGACCAGGATAAGTACCTGGCTCCTGCCATCGGATCAGCGCGGTGCGCCGGCCGCAGCGCGCTGGCCGCGGCGGCCATTGGAGGGTGAACCAATGGCAAAGGAAGACCTTTCTCTCTGTCTTTCTCTCTCACTATCCACTCTGCCTGTAAAAAAAAAAAAAAAAAAAAAGATGAATTACTCACTTAAAAGTCTATGCCTCCTAGGGGCAGCCGCTGTGGCACAGAGTTAATGCCCTGGCCTAAAGCGCCGGCATCCCATATGGGTGCCGGTCCGAGACCGGGCTGCTCCACTTCTGATCCAGCTCTCTGCTATGGCCTGGGAAAGCAGTAAGAAGATGGCCCAAGTCCTTGGGCCCCTGCACCCACGTAGGAGACCAGAAGAAGCTCCTGGCTTCGGTTCTGCGCAGTTCCGGCCATTGCGGCCAATTGGGGAGTGAACCATCTCTCTACTGCTCTCTCTGTGTAACTCTGACTTTCAAATAAATAAATAAATCTTTAAAAAAATTAAATAAAAAAAGTTTATGGCTCCCAAATTAAAATTCCAGTCCCAATTTTTCCCCAAAACCCAAAATCTCTATATTCAAATACCTGGTATAAATCTGTAACCAAATGTTGATGACAAAAATCAAACTTAACACATCCAAACCCCTGGTGAAACTGCCATCTAAATCTGCCCAAGTATTCTTTAATTCAGTCAAGGCAACAGAAAACATCTAATTTTAGAAGCTAGAAGTATAAGCTGTATCTCATATTCTTTCCCCTCTATGAGTCCCTTCTCATCCAATCATTAAAGTATTAATAATGTTCAAGTACTAAAGTACATAAGTCCAACCTATTTGTCAAGTTACGTCCCAGTCTTTCAACTCAAATACGACTATCTAAAACTTTCATTTAAATCATTGCAGCAGCCTTCCAACCATTATGAACTTCAAACTCATGGAATCTATCTTCCTCAAAATCTCCACTGAAATAAACATAAGCATATCATGCCCTGTTTAAAACCCTTCAAAGATGGGGGAATTACCTTAAACAGGAACATAAATTGGAGCAGGCCTTTAGTGTGGCAAGTTAATGTCATCTGGGATGCCCACATTTCATACCAGGCTGCCTGGCCTGTAGTCCTGGTTCTTCTCCTGATTCCAGCTTCCTGTTAATGTACAACCTGGGAGGCAAGACGATGGCTCATATACTTGAGTCCTTGTTACCAATGTGGGAGATACAGATTTAGGCCTGACAGAGCCACAGCAATTTAGTCACTTCAGGAGAAAACCAGCAGATGGGCAAGATCTATCTATCTCTATCCCCAACACTTTTCTTTTTTAAAAACAATTCTCTTTTTTAAAAGGTAAAGATGCTGGGTCTGGCACTGTGGCGCGGCAGGTAAGACTGCTGCCTGCAGTACTGACATCCCATGTGGGCGCTGGTTCGAGTCCCAGCTGCTCCAATTCCGATCCAGCTCTCTGCTAAAGCCTGAGTAAACAGCAGAAGATGGCCCAAGTCCTTGGGCCACTGCACCCGCGTGGGAAACCCGGAGGAAGCTCCTGGCTCCGGATTGGCGCAGCTCCAGCCGTTGCATACAACTAGGGAGTGA